TAAATATCACCGCTGCAAAGGTCATTAATTTTTTAAGTGAAATAACCTTATTATAACTCAACTATGAAATTATGTAAAATGTGTTAGACACTAAAAAATCTTATATGATTGTAAACATGTTAATAAATATAAATTAAAGTATTGCCATTGTTTTTGTGCTAGGGGTTGGCAAGCTAGACTTTTGAGTATTCCAAATAGGGATATTTCATAATCGCCTACATTTTAAATTTATACACATGCTTTTTCAATTAGTATGAAACACTCTATTGTCTAATTTGATACTACAGATAATTATATCAATTTAGTTGAGCAGTGAGTGTGCGTACGCACATGTTTGCCCCAAATTTTCTTAACCTATTTTATGCAACCTACAATGTGGATCAAATTCATAAAAATTATTACCCCGTCACAAAATAAGTGTCTCGAATTTGTATTAATTTTAGTACAAAGTTGTACTATAGTAAGACACTTATTTTGAGATGGAAGGAGTATTTTCTAGGCCAGGAACATGTGTATCTTGCCATAAGGTTCAAACTAATACATACTTTCTCCATACGTCCATCACTTAGTAGGTGGCATAAAATTCACAAAGATATGTACTTTCCGTAATGATAGGAAGGATTCATTTACACAAATAACGTCAGTGCGCAACATAAAGGGAAATGGATGCACTCTTTACAATCTTAAAGCCTAAAAATACATGTGTATATTTTGTGTTATCATTATTTGAATAATAAGGCATTTCTCCATTAGTATGATATCAAGGATTTATAGAATGTTACTATAATTATGCACCTAATTATGCATCCCTATAATATCTAGACCGTGCAGACGCACGGGTTGATGACTAGTTATTGTAGTCGTGATCTATTAGCTGATCCCTTTTGTACAACAACTTTGGGGTCAAAAGTGGGCACCCTGTTCTTTCTAACCTCATTAATATTTCCCCTAAAAGGACGCACACCTAGCCGCCGCCTCCAAGAACCCTAGCTTTCTGCCTCCCACCGGCGCCGATGCCGGTCCATCCCGTCTCCGGTGGCCCTATGGCCATGGAGGCGGAGTGGATCTCGGCCCTTGCCGGTGGGAGGGCTCCGTTTTTAGATCTTTTTTCGAGCTTTGTTAGGGTTTGTGTCCTGCTCAGAAAGACGAGACGGTGGCGGCTCCCTGAAGATGGAATGAAGGTCTCCCCGTTCTGGTGATGCGTCTTGCATCGTCGGTGGGCATGTGAAGTTTTGTCTCCGGTGGATCTGTCTTTGGTGGATTTGCTCGGATCTGTTCGTCCTTTGTCTTCGTTCGTGTGTTTTCAGGTTGGATCCTTTTGATCTACACTCTTCATCCGCGGCGGTTGCTGTTCTGGTGCGTTGGTTCTACGGGGCCTTAGCACGACTACTTCCCGACTGTCTACTACAACAAGGTTTGCCCTGCTCTGGCGAGGGAGGGGCGATGACAGCGGCGCGCCTTCGGCTCGCTTCAGTGCTTGTAGTCGCCGCTAGGTGGTCTATGGATCTGGATGTAATTTTTATTATTTCTTGTGTTCGTTGTACTACCATGATTGAAGATGAATAGATTGGAAGTTTTTCCCGCAAAAAAATTTTGGGGTCAAAAGTGGCCAGAACCCTTAGATGGGGTAATTTTGTGTCATAAAAATGCAAACTGAGTAATTAAGATAAGAAAAACTGCAAACATAGTGTAGGAGGTGGAATGAACTCTTAATTAAGGAGTCTCGTAACATCATGTCGGAATTCATGTTCACCCCTGGCCTTTCTTTTTTGTGAAAACATGTTCACCCTAGGCTTAGTTCATAGTATTCAAAAACCAGCTAGCATAACACATGGCAATCTACGCATTACCTTAAACATTAAGGACCTACCAATCTAGTTTTGTTTTGCAAGTTATGTTAACCAAGATAATTGATACAACGAAGAGCCATGCTTCGGTACCCCCCCTCCCCCTCTACAAACCGTATAAGGATAGTATGGTCATTTGACCATAATGTATAGACACCTCCGTATGTAACGCATACGAGCTATATGCATACGTACATAGCAGATCCGTCATTATGAAAATTTTATTTTGCAAACTTTCTTTCCAAATTTGTGGACTTTTTGTCAAATTCTTAACCTTTTTTGAAACAGATGAACTTTTTTTTCAATGTCACAAACTTTTGTCACACTAGTAAGCTTGTGTTGCACGTCTCGGCTAACACATGTAATCATATATAGGATAATCTTCCCTAAAAATAATAGGTTAACCCTATTGAAAATTTCAAATTTCACACGAAGTGTATAGTACCTAATTCTTAGCATACATAATATGAAATATCATTCTTCATAAATCAATATTCCTTTCACGTACATTTCACCCAAACAATTTGAATACCTTGAGCCGTGCGTGGCCATGGGAGATGGGATACTGATTTTTCGTTGACCAGGATAGGATGCACCGTGATTAGTTTCTTATTTTCAGGGGCCGTGATTAGTGTCCTTGTGAGCGGCGTGCGGAACTTTGTTCCGCGGGCGAGGCGTCCTCCTGGTTATTTGCTAATAACACATTCACGTTAGATTAGATCCATCTTAGGTGAAGGATTTAATTAAATAGATGGGATTGGGTGGTGTTGATTTGTCGGTGTACATTTGTTTGAGTGTACATTGGAAGGAAAATGGTGTACTTTTCTGAAATTGATAAACCTTTTTTCAACCTGTGGACTTTGTGGCAGAAATTTTCCAACACCAACACAAAAAACCAAAAATCTAGGTTTTTCGTTTTCGGTATCGTTTCGGTCTTTGATTTATCGATTTTTAAGCCCACACCTAGCTTAAAGGACAACAAAAGTTCATAAAACTAAAAAAAGTTCATCGATTGGGAAAAGCTCACAAATTCGAGAAAAAAGATCGTGAAATTGGAAAAAAGTTCATCGATTTGAAAAAAAATCACGAATTTGACAAAAAGCTCATGAATTAAATACTTTTTTTGCAAGAGGCCTCTCGGCTGTGCCGGTCCATTCTCGCACGAAAACAGGGGAATTTTTTTTAAAAACCGTTTTAAGTACTTGTATAAATTCTAGATTTAAATAGATTTTTATTCAAACCTGGCATGGATGCCTATCATGAGCATGCCCACCTTATTGCAAAAGTTGGGGTCACTGAAAGATGTACAAACATAGACCATGTCAACAGGATGGCGACAAGACTCCATCTGAGAGCACATTGTCTACCGACATTCTTCAAATGGTGTTGCAAATCGTTCAAACCTGGTATTGATGACTACCATGGGTATGCGTATGTCCACCAGCTTGAAAACTTGGTATTGTTTTAAGAATGTCCAAACTAGACCATGTTCAATGGATTGTGTTCGGGTTATGCCAGAAGACTCCCACCTTCCGACAAAATTTAGGGTCATTTCAAGGATGTCTAAAACTAGATCATGTTCAACGAAGGGTGTTAGGGTAGCCCAGAAGGCTCTGTTTGAGAGCACATTATTTCTTGACAAGCTTGAAATGGCCCCAATTTTTTGCATGGCCTTATATGAACAATTCAAGGCACCATGTCAAGTTGTTTCGTGTTTCCACAAATTTTGCATTTTTGAAGTTTTCTCGATAGAAAAAGGTCGACAAATAACTGGACGTGTCATAACTTGCATACGGTGTCGAAAGTCGTTCAAACCAGGCATGGATGCCTATTGTGGGTATGTCCACCTGTTTGCAAAGTTGAGGTAATTTTAAGGATGTCCAAAAATAGACCATGTGCAACGAAGGGTGTTCGGGGTAGGGTGAGAAGGATCCTTTTGAAAGCACGTTGGGTTTCGACATCTGGCGAATGGCTCCAATTTTTTTTCCACCAGCTTATATGATAAATTCAAGGCATCGTTACAAATTGTTTGTATTTTTAACAACTTTTGCATTTTTAGAGTTTTCTCGATGAGAAGGGCTGATAAATGGGCGGACGTGTCACAACGTGCAAATAGTGTCGGAAGTTGTTCAAATATGGCATGGATGTTTCATATATCCATGTCAGGCTGTTGCAAGAAGTTGGGGTCATTCATCAATAGAAAAAAAACACCTATTGAGAAGAGTGTGCTAGACTAGGCCAAACGCGTGCATCCGTGAGCATGTAGTTTCTCATTAAGAATGCCTCTGTTATTTCCATTTTTTGGTATTACCAATCAACATGAACATTCTCCTATATCCTAACAATCTATTGAATTAGTGAACAATTATGGAATTTCAAATTGTGTATGAAACTTTTAAAAAATTGAACCCTTTTTCTAAAATTGTGGACAAATTCCCAACAATTGATATTATCCACAAATTGCAAACATTTCTTAAATTTTTGAACAAAAAATGTAAACACGAATTTTTTTAATTTCAGAATATTTTTAAAAATTGTGAACAATGTTTGAAAATATGAACATTTTTGGCACTACAAAAATATTTCAAATTTTTATATAAGTTTCAAAATGGAGAAAAACAAATTAAGAAAAAAACTAAAAACTAAAAATATAAAAGTAAAAAAAAATCTTAGGCTTTAGCCCAACTACACAATGGCATCTCTCCTGTCGGGTGCCTGTTGGGCCTGCCCAAGCATTAATAGATTTGAAAAAAATCATGAATTTTAAAAACAGATGTTCATGATTTTGAAAAACAATCCCAGTGAACAACAATATTAAAAACCAGTTGCCTACAACCAAGACCAAATATAGGGTCGGGACGAATTGAGAGTGAACAACAACAATATTTTCGTCTGCCCACTCTATATCATCAGTGCAGGTGATCTCAGAATTTAGATTCATCAACACGCTGGGTTCATCATGGCTCACAAGTACAAACCAATAACGGTTACATGCATCATGCAACATTCATTATTACAAGTTTACTGAAAACAAAAATGCATACACTAGCACAAGTCTCTAAATACAAATTATTCACTTTCATTTATTCATACAACTCATATGATAGACTGACACTCGTCATACGCTGATTTATTGCAGCACTAGAATTGTAGTTACCTAGTCCTAGCTAACCTGCCCCAAGTGACAACTATAAACACATAGGCTTTGTCATTCACCTTGTCAAAGAAGCGGAAATAAGCAATCCTCCATGCTTTCTTGAAGAGCAGAGCAATGAAAACAACCCAAAGGCCAGCCACAAACCCTGACCCAAGTCCAAAGTAAGTGAACAACATCGACTCTGAAAGTTCTTCACTTCTCTGTTGATGGTAATGCTCCGGTGCATTACTGTTGACTGAGCAATTTTTATGAAGGATAGGCCCACAAAGGCCAATGTTGCCACTGTACATGGCTGGGTTCTCCATGTAAAGAGTGTCAAGTTGACTTCCTGATGGTATTCTTCCTGCTAGATGATTATAGGAGAGGTCTAGAATGCTCAAGTACGTTAGATTTGATACACTTGACGGGATTTCTCCTGAAATATTATTGTTCGAGATGTCAAGCGACTCCAATGTGTGCATGTCCCCAATCTTGTTAGGTAATCCTCCATTCAATTGATTCCAAGACAAGTTCAAATTTATCAATCCTTCAAGAGACGTTATTTCCTCTGGAATTTTACCATTTAAATAGTTGCATGAGAAGTCAATGCTCGATATTTCCAAAACACCATAACCTCTGTATTTAAGTTCTTGCCTCTTGATGACTACTGGCATATCAATTGATGAAAGTGGGGAAAATTTAATGATTGTGCCAGGATCCAGTACGAATGGTGTTGTCATAGCTGTTAGATTTGATAGATGATGAGGTATGGTACCTGATATCCTATTAGCCGCCAGATTCAAATGATAAAGTTTTTTGAGGCTTGTGATATTATTTGGAATATGCCCATAGAACATGTTGTTGCTCAGACGTAGAACCTGTAGTTCCCACAAGTTCCCAATCCACATTGGCAATGTTCCGGAGAATCTGTTGCTTGCCAGATCTAAGTAAGATAGCTCTGTGCAGCTTTCTAGAAATGGTGGAAACTTGCCAGAGAAGCTATTGTTACTTAATGACAGAATTGACATGTCACTTGTTTCAAAACATTGTGGAATTTCTCCTTCAAGAAGATTGTTGGCCAAAACCAAGGAGTATAAGTTCAATCCACATACAGACACTGGAATTTGACCTGTGAAATAATTGGAAGATAGATGTATCCTAGACAGGCCTGGAACCCCAAAATTTGATGGCAGCGGTCCTGATAAAGAGTTTATTGGTATGTCCAATGTGCTTAGGTTTCTGGGCAATTGAGGTATTCCACCAGATATATTGTTTGAACCAAAGTATAGAAGTTCCAGTGACATGTTACCCATATTTTTTGGCAAGGTACCACTTATTCGGTTATTGGAGATATCCAAGAATGTGGCCTTTGAAAAGGCACTAGAGAACCAATCTGGAAACGTATCGTTTATTCCTGTGCTTGATATATCAAGGTAAGTAAGATCCACTTGCCACTTAAGCCATGCAGGAAACAGAGGCCCCATCTGGCAAGATGCAAGACACGCTTCTTGCAGTCTAAATGGAGGAACCCATTCTGAACCTACCACAATCTCCAATTGATTAATACTAGATAACTGTTCTTTTGCAATCATCGGATCATTCACGATTATGATCTCTAAGCTTTTTAGACCATGAAAGTGTTCTTCTGTAATCAAACCATCCAAGTGATTGTCAGTTAGATCCAACAGAGTCAAATTTGTGAGAAAGCCAATTTCAGATGGCACATGTCCAGTCAGGTGGTTGCCAGAGAGATGTAGAGACTTCAAATTTGTAAACTGCCCTATAAATTCCGGTATAGGCCCAGTAATGTTGTTCAAACTAAGATGAAGAATGACTAAGCTGGTGCGGTGTCCCATCCAATCTGCTAGAGTTCCTGTCAATTGGTTTCCCATCAGGTGTAACTCCTGCAATCTGTTTGACGAACATTGTGGCAGCCTCTGCGCTTTGATTCCATATGAGAAAGTAGTGTCAAGGTATAGGAACCTCAAGTTGCATAGGTTCTTCAAGTCTGCCGAGTCCATGCTCATCATGTTGTTACCTTGTGTCAAGGATAATTCTTGCAAGGATACCATACCCCCCAATGCATCAGGAAGCTGACCATATAGTCCATTGTTATTTTCGAGGTAGAGATGTTTGAGTCTTGTTAGGTTCCAAAACCAACAAGACGCAACCGGGTTGTAAAAGTTGTTGTAAGAAAGGTCGAGCTCCTCAAGAGTTGTAGTGAGGTTTAATTGTGGGAGCGACTGGTTCGCACTAATTAGGCCACAACCAGAAAGATGAAGGGACCTCAAAGAAGGAAGGGCGTTCACCACATGAGGCCAGTCAGCTAGCGTGCTCAGGTCTACTGAATCTAGGTTGAGATACCTTAGAAACCGTAGACGTGTTAACCATGAGAGATCCTTGGAGGAAACTTTATATGGCTCATAGGCTGACAGGTCAAGATAGTGCAGCTTTGAGAGGTTGCCAAGGTGGGGAGGCACTTCCACCGAGGAAACGTATACTACATGGGATAGGTTAAGATATCTCAAGTTTGCCAAAGAACCCAGAAAGCCGGGGATACGGCCAGTAATGCTGTTGTTGCTGAGATCAAGATGCTCCAGATGCGGCAGGGAAAGCAAAGAAGGACTTATCTCACCGGCCAGTCCCTGGCCTCGAAGGTTCAGCGCGACGACATGGGTATGGCCAGTCCGGTTGCTGCACCGGACACCTCTCCACTGGCAGCAGTCGACGTCGTCTTTGCGCCATGAGGCGAGGAGGCCAGCGGTGCCAATCTCGCCGGTGATGCCTCGCTTGAAGGCCAGCAGCGCGTCCCGCACCTGCGGTGTGCAGGCGGCCGGCACATGGGATGAGGCGGCGAGCAATAAGGTGCCGACGAAGGCGAGGAGGAGCAGCAGCTTTGCAGGAGGATGCATGGTGATTGTGGGTAGACAGTAGTGTGCGCACTCCGCACGGCACATATAGCTCCAGTTTATTTATTATAATTAGTCGGTCGGTCCACGGCCCGGAGTCATCGTTTTGGCTCAGCCACTCACTGATGATGAAGTGATCGACGGCAAGACACGGCGACAGTAATGCAGGAGGCAAGAGCGGTGTGTGGTGGCCAACATGCCACGCCCAGGTAGACAGCGCCAGTGCCCTGAGCATGAGGGCGTTGTAGCAGATCAAGTATGCTACAGTAGTCTACTCTTCATATAGCCCGGATGTGCACGCGTCGACTGGATGGATGAGCCTGCATGCTTCAAAGGGAACGCATGCATCGAGGAGGAATCTGTTGGAATTAGTTGTTGTATAGGGATAGAATTCTCTTTGAATTGTAAATCTATTCTATCTCTTCTTCTATTTCAACCTCTCCCAAATATCCTTCTGTAACCGATCAATCTAGCCTCGATCCAATCTTGTAAGCCACGGCATATGTTCTATATAATGCAATGCGGCCCGAGCAAAGGGTTCTACGCTTCCCATAATATTTTACATGGTAACAGAGCCTCTTCCTCAACAAGAACGCATCTAGCTACCTTCCTCCATCGAGAGCATATCTACCACCTCCGCCCCCATGTCGCCCAGCACCATGGGTGCACTTTCCACCACCTCCTCCTCCACCTTCGCCTCATCATCCACCACCACCACTACATCCCTCGGACCACCACCACAGGAGAAGCTGACGAGGGGGAACTTTCTTCTCTGGAAGGCCGTCGTGCTGCCGCAGATCAAAGGAGCACAGATGGAGCTTCACCTCGACGAGAAGAGCCCGGCACCGCCGCCCACCCTCACCATCACCAAGGACGGCAAAGAAGAGCAGATCACCAACTTTGCAAGAACCCTTTGGTATGCACAACAGCAGCAACTTCAAGGATATTTGATGGGCTCTCTTTCCCGCGATATTCTTGCACAGGTCGCCACGTTACAGACACCGGCCGAAGTTTGGCGTGCAATTCATGCCATGTTTGCCGCTCAGAGTCAAGCTCAAGCCATTAATACCCGCATCGAGCTGACCAATCTTCAGAAAGGTAATATGACCATGGCCGAGTATCTTGGCAAAATTAAAAGTCTCACAGATGAAGTTGCCTGCACTGCCGCCGCGCTCTCTGATCCGGAGATCGTCTCCAAAATTATCGCCGGACTGGACATGGAATACAACCCTATCGTCTCGGCGCTCGCTACTCGGGTGGAACCGATCACGGTTCAGGAGCTCTACAGCCAGCTCCTGAGCTTTGATGCCCGCCTCAGCCTCCTTCACGGCACCAACCTTCGCCAATATTCTGCTAATGCTGTCTCTCGTGGTCGCGGCCGTGGGCGCGGTCACCAGGGGCAGTCCCGCACCGGTGGCCGCGAGCGTGGCCACCTTCAGGGAGATGGCGGCTACATCAACTCTGGCGGCGGCGGCTACAACAACTCCAGCAACTACACCAACAAACCAGCAGGCGGCGGCTTCAACAACAACTCCGGCCGCCGCTCCTCTTCCTCCCGGGGGCGTCCTCGGTGCCAACTCTTCAAAAAGGCAGGCCATGAAGTTATGGATTGCTGGCACCAGTATGATGAAGACTTTGTCCCCGATGCACGCCTTGTTGCTGCAGCTATGAGCAAGGGGGCGATGGCGTGTGGTACGTTGATTCTGGTGCAACCAACCACGTTACCGGTGAACTAGAGCAACTCGCTCTCCGGGAGAAATACCTTGGCAACGATCAGATTCATACTGCAAGTGGTGGAGGTATGGATATTCAACACATCGGTCAAGCTTTTATTAATTCTCCTACTCTTAAACGTGATCTTGTTCTAAACGATGTCCTTCATGTTCCACAAGCTGATAAAAACCTTGCCTCTATGTCTCGTTTAGCCACCGATAATAATGTCTTCTTTGAAACTCACACTCGTTACTTTTTTTATAAAGGATCGGGCAACGAGGGAACTTCTACATCACGGTAGATGCATTGGAGGGCTCTACCCCATCTCATCCAGAGTATTCAACCACAAGCGTCGTCATGCTTATTCTGCCATCAAGCCCTCTTTGGCACGGCGGCATCAAAGATTAGGACACCCTCATCAATCATAGTCAAACAAGTAGTTAATAAAGGTAATTTGCCCTTGTCATATAGTCAATCCAGTGAGTCCATTTGTGAAGCTTGTCAGTGTGCCAAGAGTCATCAACTCCCTTATCCTAGGTCAAACAGTGTGTCTCATGCTCCTTTAGAGCTTATTTTCAGTGATGTATGGGATCATGCTAGAGATTCTTTTGGAAGAAAAAAATATTATGTCAGTTTCATTGATGATTTTAGCAAGTTTACTTGGATTTACTTGTTAAAGCACAAATCTGAAGTTTTTTCTGTGTTTCAAGAATTCCAAAAGCTTGTTGAAATGCACTTTAACTGGAAAATTTTGGCAGTCCAAAGTGACCGGGGAGGGGAGTATGAAAAACTTAACTCTTTCTTCCGTAGCATAGGCATTGAACATCATGTCTCTTGCCCTCATGCTCATCGGCAAAACGGCTCTGATGAGAGAAAACATCGCCACATTGTTGAAGTTGGCCTTTCCCTACTTGCACATGCCTCCATGCCTATCAAATATTGGGATGAAGCATTTATTGCAGCCACCTATCTTATCAGTCGCCTTCCTAGTAAGGTCATTGGCAACACTACTCCATTAGAGCGATTATATCATCAAACACCTGATTATAATTCTCTTAAATTTTTTGGGTGTGCTTGCTATCCAAATTTACATCCATATAATCGCCACAAGCTCGAGTTTCAATCCACCCAATGTGTTTTTCTTGGCTATAGTAATCTCCACAAAGGGTACAAATGCTTAGAGATTGCAACTGGCCGTATCTATATCTCTAGAGACGTTGTCTTTGATGAAACTCTTTTTCCATTTGCCTAACTTCACCCAAATGATGGAGCTCTCCTACGTGCTGAAATGGCACTTCTTCTAGATCACGGAGGAGAATTATATAAATCTGATCCTGTGGAGAATTCCATAGAAAATTCGGATTCTAGTGATATTTGTGCATTTTCAGGTCATGTTTTTATGTATGTAGAAACAGACAAAGGAGGCGCCGGATCCCATGCAGATTCGGGTGGCAGCGGCGTTCCATCCGAGGCAGATCCCCGCGCCAGTCCTGCTGTCTCCAGCGCCGCGCGATCCGAGGACGATTGCGGTCGTCCGCGTGCAGCCAATCGCGTTGGGCGGCTGACAGGCCCGACCGCGTGGATCCCACCGTTTCAGCCGCGCTGGTCGCCGACAGCCCTCGCGCAGCGGGGCCCGATGCTGAGCCCACCTCGTCAGGAGCGGACGGGGGCGAATCACCCCATGCCACCAGCCCGTGGGCCGACCCAGGAGTCGACAGCAGGACGCCTGGCGCGTCTGGGTCGCGATCCGCCTCGGATCGGGAGCCGGATCGGGAACTTGCGGCTGTCTCGGCTGCAGCTGGTCTCGTGGGATCTTCTGTGGTGCAACCAACAGCGACTGCCATGCCGGGATCTTCTGTGCAAACTTCACCAGCAGCAGCTCCTCGTCGCCACACTCGATCTCAGTCAGGTATTATCAAGGCAAAAGAATATACTGATAGCACCGTAAGGTATGACAGGGTCAAAAGAGCTTTTCTTAGTAGTTTTGGTGAACCAACCCACTTGCATGATGCACTTAATCATAAAGAATAGAAGGAGGCTATGGATAGTGAATACAATGCACTCATGAAAAACAAAACTTGGCACTTAGTACCACCAAGGAAGGGAAATAATGTTATAGATTGTAAATGGGTGTACAAGATCAAGAGAAAATCTGATGGAAGTATAGACAGGTACAAGGCTAGATTAGTTGCTAAAGGATTTAAACAAAGGTTTGGCATTGATTATGAAGATACCTTTAGTCCTATTGTTAAGGTAGCTACTATTCGGCTTGTGTTGTCTATTGCCATTTCCAGAGGTTGGAGTCTACGATAGCTAGACGTTCAGAACGCGTTTCTTCATGGTGTTCTTGAGGAAGAAGTGTTCATGCGGCAACCACTGGGATATGAGAATCAAAGCACACCGCATTATGTCTGTAAGTTGGATAAAGCTTTATATGGTTTGAAACAGGCCCCTAGAGCTTGGTACTCAAGATTGAACATGCAGTTACAACAACTTGGGTTTACACCATCAAAAGCAGATACCTCTTTGTTCTTTTATAATAAAGGCAATATCACCATATTTGTGCTTGTTTATATTGATGATATAATTGTTGCTAGTTCAAGCTCAGATGTCACCACTTGTTTGCTTAAGGATCTGAAACTGGAGTTTGCTCTTAAGGATCTAGGTAATCTTCACTACTTTCTTGGTATAGAGGTTAAACAGGTAAAGGATGGCATACTTCTCACACAAGACAAATATACTACTGATATTCTTAGGAGAGTGGGATTGAAACATTGTAAACCTGTGAGTACACCAATCTCAACCTCAGAAAAACTTACAGTTGAAAGTGGAGAAGTACTTGGACCAGAGGATGCAACAAATTACAGGAGTGTTGTAGGTGCTTTACAATATTTGACTCTTACACGTCCTGACATTTCTTATTCTGTGAACAAAGTATGTCAATATTTACATGCACCTAGAACTACTCATTGGACTGCAGTCAAGAGAATTTTGAGGTATCTTAAGTTTTCAAGGGACTTGGGCTTCATATTACCAGGTCTTCATCCATGCTTGTTACTGCATATTCTGATGCAGACTGGGCAGGTTGTCCTGATGACAGAAGGTCCACAGGTGGTTTTGCCGTGTTTCTGGGAACAATCCTTGTATCATGGAGTGCAAGAAAACAGGCTACAGTTTCAAGGTCAAGCATTGAGGCTGAGTATAAAGCTTTGGCAAATGCAACAGCTGAAGTAATGTGGATACAAACTTTACTTTATGAGCTTGGGATTAAGGCTCCACAAGCTGCTAGG